TAATTGTTCTTCATGGATTCATCATTATATATACACGGTATACGTTATTGGTGAGATTTCTCTTTTACTGTTTAAATTATTCATAGTATTCATAGATTAATCGATTGTTGAAATCTGGGCATATCTCTCACAGTGTCAGAAATGCAAGTTGGATATCCAATGTACGTAGAGGATCATTCTTCTACAAGTGGTTGAGTATTCTTGCTTGGAGGAGGTGCCATTTCTTGGGCATTCAAGAAGCAAACTTGTATCACAAGTTCAACAATGGAATCTGAGTTTGTTATGTTGGCTACCGCCGGTAAAGAAGCTGAGTGGTTAATAAATTTAATTTTTAAGATTCTATTGTGGGGGAAATCGATTGCGCCTGTTTCTATCCATTGTGATTGTGCTGCCAAGCATATAGTCATGTTTATAATGGCAAGTCTAGACATTTGGGTGTTAGACATAGTATGATTAGGGAGTTAATCATGAATGGTGTAATTTCAGTGGAGTTTGTAAGATCGCAACATAACTTCGCGGACCACTTGAGCAAAATCTTGGCTCGGGACTTAGTGCACAAATCCGTGATAGGGATGGGATTAAAGTCCATTTAAATCCTTAATGGTGAGACACCCAATTCCCCTCTAATACAACGTTAGAGGCTGAATTCAATGCAGAAAGCCCACACTTATGGATTGGAACACACAATGAAAATCATCCCAAGATGTGTGTTCGGACTTGTAGTAGGGAGGTTGAATTTATTTCTTAATAATTCCTTTGATAAAATGTAAGCAGGTACATGAATAAATGAATTACCTATATGATAGTGAAGTATAGTCGCGCTTCAAAAAGCTTGGGACTTGGCTTTTATACGGTCATGAATGGGATTAGGACACACGGCTTTATAATTTTGTCAAGTTTGTATTCTAGTTGAATATAGAAATTTGTATTTATTTTATCTTCAGGTGTTCAAATGGGTTGACAGGTTCAATCCATAGGACACCCTGATTCTCGAATATTTGGAATGTGTAAAATACTAAGATGAAAATTCAATCGTTTCAACATTTTCATTTATGTCCAAGTCTTGGTTTGTAAACTTTGTTATGTCATTTCATGGGTTACACTAAAACGGGGGAGGATTGTTGGTGATTTTAGTGTCACCGGCCATTTTGTGTAATTGGAAATGACATGAGTGCCAATGGGATTAGAAATGTGTTCTAATACAAGCTAGTAGGTGTGGAGTGCACACTTGTATATAAGAAAGGGTTTTATTCCAAAGTGTCTACGACAGTGGAACTCAAGGTAGAACACTCGATAGACCAACTCTCTGGTTCTAGACTGAGGTCTAGAGCGTTCGAGCAGTTTCGTGCATTTTTCCAAAAACTGCCACGGTTATTCCCAAACGGGTTGTAACTGCTTGGAATGGTTAATATGGATATATATCACCATTTTTTTAATATATATCACCATATTTCGTACAGAGGGATAGAGAGAGCGTATCTTGATTACTTTGGCATTCAAATTAAGAAAATAATCCATATACTCACTAGTTTGTGATCTAGATCTTGTGTCTAAGTTCTAGAGTGTCTTTAAGGATTATCCTAGATTGAATTTCTTATAACCTAGGCATAGGTGATAAATATCGGTTCAGAAAGTGAACTTACACGATCCTTAAGAAATCTAAGTACTCGACTATCACCCCTACATGAATCCCTAACATCCTCCAGCACAAACGCAACACCTCATTCTTGCTTGCATAGAGACGGCGGCTCCGCCGGGTGTATACTCCGGCGCTAGTTGTCTCTCCTCCCTCTCTCTTTCTTTGCACTCTTTTCCTTTTTCTCTTTTTCTTACACAAGTTTGGTGAGTTTGGTCACTTGTTAGGTTAGGAGATGTTGGGTGTGTTTCGGAAAAACGAAGAAATATTAATTAATAAAAATAATTAATTAATTAATAAAATAGCTAAAGAAAAACAGAAATAAGATGGAGCAGATTTTAGCCAGAGCTCGTGCTACGCACGATGTCCTTAAAACGTATTCGTCGCCTCCCACGGTGCTAGGAGCGTTGCAACGACCGTTTCCCAGGATACGGTGGGTAACGAACTAACGTTTGAGCACACAAACGAGAGTTCCGGCGAACTGGAACACGGTATGAACACTTAGGGAATTTTCTGAGTAGCTAGAAGTGTTTTAGAGCTCAAAAATACGTGAGGAATGTAATGTGAGTTGTGTTGTTGCAAACCACCTGCCAGCTATTTATAGGAGGATTTGTTGTGTGTTAAATGGGGTGTTAATGGACCTGAACGTTGCACATCAATGCCCAATCCGTTGGACATTGAATCATCCATAAATTGTCCATTTAACGCTGCATTTAAAGACAAGAACGTTGGGCATTTAACGGGTGTAACGGCTTGGAGCAGTTCTGGTGCGCGACCAGAATACCCCTATCAGAGTTGGAGCAACTCTGATGCTACCAGAATACCTCCACCAGAGGTGGAGCACTTCTTTGCAGGTCGCCCGCGCACCGAAAAATAAAACGTTACGGGAAGAAACAAAAATTAGATCGTATCTTTGAATGAAAAATTTTTCGGACAGCATTCGTGTCCGCAAGTCGCCCCGTACACGAGTCGCGGTTTTTCTTCTCCGTTACGGGATTTGATCGGCACCCCCCCTGTGCGTAAGAGAGAGCCTTTAACTTTAGGAATCTTAACTCCTTAAAAGAGGCTTCCCTTTATAAGGGGGTGAAAATCCCTTGAGTTTTCCGGTGTGGTATAAAACACACTAGAAACCCATCATTTCACAGTTTTTTCATTTCAACGAGTGAACTTTGAGAATCAATTTCTCATTCACCCGTTATCCGTTTTGAGCGTACTATATATCGAATTGTAGCCCTTAACAAGGACAATCCGAAACCACTTTGACCCGACCCAAATCGGAAGTAGGCCCCACTCAAATAATTGACCCAAAATGACCATTTAATGCAATTTTTAACACATTTTTCCAACAGGAGAAACCTAACCTATACGTAGTTATACAAATATGAGCATGCACAAATGAAATTTTAAACATCGTAGAGATTTTAAATGAGTTTTTTTATTTTTTTTTCAATGCTCATTTGATATTGGTGTAATACTCATTTTAAAATGGCATGTTCATGCATTTTTCAAAATTATAATATTACATTAAATTCACATATTGGATTCATACGGGTTCATAGTAGATATTTTTAAAAATAAGAAAAAGAAAGTGGATTATAAGATATGAAGTCGATATCACGATGCTTATTATTAGACCCTCGATACTCAGTAGAACAGATCATATGCTCATTAAAAGTACATTAATACTCATTTAAAAGAAGCCGCAATTTTCAACAAAATTACGAAATTTGTCACCCACTGTACGGTGCAAGCCATATAGGAGGTTGTACACTCCCACTGAGTGATTGCTGATGTGACATTTTATTTATTTATAATTTTTAAATAAAAATCCAACTTTCTACTGTGTGTGGCAATGGGAGTCGGGGTGCTCCCTAGATCTGATGTGCGTTTTTTATAAAGGAGGGGCCGATTCGCTGAGATACACGTAAAATGGAGTTACGGTTTGATTTTTATTGGGTGTGTTCTAATCCATTTATTATTAGTTGATCACTTTTTGTCCTATTTTAATTATGATTAGAGGGAGTATAAAATAAATTAAGCCCATGACCCAGTTGGACCGGAACCGGCCATCTCACCAGAATCAACCCGAAATCGGTATCATAAGGTACGATCTCGAGCATGTATATATAAATGCAAGGATTGACCTGTCCAGAATCGGAACCATGACTAGTTCATCCATAATTATCATGATCATTGGTATTGTTGTTGTTGCTATTACTATTATTACATGAAAAAATTCTGCTAATATTACTCCTGAAAAGTCGTAGACAAAGATATGATTTAGTAACTATTAGTGACTATAATTGAGTTAAAATTACATCACAGTCAGTGGCGGATCTAGCCTTTACATTTTGGGTGTTCGAAACTAAAGTAAAATTAAAAGTATCACAATAATCATATCTAATGCTATAATTCAACAATTGTATCTTTATCGATCAAAAAACTACTACGTACTACATTAAATTCTCCAAACTTGTTTACGGAAACAACTCTTATTCATTAACCTAACAAAAATTAAATCATCATAAATCATACTATCTAAATATAAATACTAAACCATTTATCAATTCATTCAATTTAACAGTGATCTAATTTCTACCTAGTGGTGTAGTGAATTATTGACTTATTGACTTTCTGGTTTCTGCACATTGGGAATTTGGGATAAAATAGCCCTGTAGTGGCAGGGCGGCAGGGTAGGGCCTGGGAGCATTTCAATTTTTTTATTATAGCCATAAGCCCATACATCACTAATCATCATTCATCATCATCATACTCATGCCGACTCATGCGCATATCATTCATAATTCTTCCGATTTTGAAAGTTAAAAAATCAAAAATACTTGAAGAAAGCAAGCAATCAACCTGCACGACAGCAGGAGAATCTGGAATTCCGGAGGTCTTCACAGCCTTCACTCTTGGTCGTAGGACTCGTAGGCCGTAGCAGTTGGGATTTCAGGATGAGCGGCCAAGGGCGGAAGAATTTCAGTCTGAAGAAGACCGAGCTTGGAACGAACGTTGAATACGCAGGTTTGAGCAAAACGACGACTTTTAATTTTTTGTAAAACGCATCAAAACGACATCTTTTTTATTTTTATTTTTTGAAATTTTTGGGTGTTCAAGTGCATACCCTTGAACACTACACCATCCGACAATGATCACAGTAACTATATATAATTCACTACATTTAATTTTGAACACAATTACAGTCACTAACAGTTTTTTTCTTTTCTTTTTTGGCACAGACATTAATAGGAGTAGTTATTAAGTCACATTTTTGTCTAAGACTTTTTTTATTAATACTAGTATTATTTAATGAAAAACTCATTATATTCATATACTCCATCCAAAAAATATATTCCTATAATCCTAATGTTATTATTATTATTGATTGATATATGCGGGTGCATCATCTGCACAAACCACAAAGTATCCATATACAGAGTATTATTCAGTTCGGAAAGGGCTAACGGCTGCTAAAAGGTAAACATTGATGGCTTAATGCCTTAATTGCATGATTTTTTAGTTCATATTTTCACCGAAAGTTTGTAATTTGGAGGTCTCAATGGCATTAACTCAAATAGCTGGAGAGCTTATTTGACCATTTTCCAATAACTGTATTATTACAGAGAAGAAGACCGAAACTCCTCCAGATTTAGATGAAAACAATGTTTGACACTGGGGGACGATCGCAGTTTGCACGAGTCCAGCCTATTGCGCTCTTCTCATTGTCAAAAATCACCATTTTGTCTTGCATAGACACATCTGTATTAAATGTGATCATCCAAAGCAAGGATTAATTTTTTTTTATTAAAACAGTGTTTCATTCTGTAATCTGTATCATCCAAGAAATTGGATAGTTGAAAATGCATACCTCCGATAATGTTGAAATTTTGCAGTCCTGCTTCGGTCCCGTTCAGAACTCCCATGCAGACACTGCCCTTTGACTGCCACAATACCATAAAGTAAATAGATATTTTCAGCTTCATGAAGAACAAGAATATAAGAACAAGATTTTAAGGGCTCATTTGGTTCGGGGATTTCGGAGGGAAGGGAACGGGATTATTCTTAGTTTGATCAAGAAATAACTGTATGATTAGTTTGATCAAGAAATATAATACCCCTCCCCTTCCACCCCCTCTGAAATCCCAGAACCAGACAAGTCCTTAGAGAGTGTTAATTAAAAACACTTACTGAGATGATAAGATATGACTCTGGGGGGATCTCAAACAGAGTTTTGGATTTCCATCCACTGGCAAAGCTGAGTGAGAAGGATTTGAAGTATTTCTTCACTTCGCTGATGCTCATGAAAGGCTTCCTTCCTTTCCAGCATAAGGGTAGAGTTGGGTCATCATCTGCTTCTTTTAGGGGCTTACCTCTCAGTTCTTTCTCCAGCTACCAGAACAAGTGGCACCACCCATGGTCATGAAATGAAAAAGGAGAAGCTCTGGAGGAAGAACGAAGATAACAACTTACTGAATATAGTAAAGCTTCGTACGGTTGCGTATTCAAATAGCTAAAAGAGCTCCCGCTATCAAACACCACATGGAGATTCTTTACTCCGGTACTTTTACTGCCAAAAAGTAGTTCTGCAGGCCCTGGAGCATAGTGATTCCTGTCATTTTTGCCTTCACATATTTAGACTCAAAACTCATCATTTTGTTTTTCTTTGCTTCACTTAGAATCTATGTTGCACGGAAACGCAAAAATCAGGAGGAAACATGAAACGGGAAACGTCAAATTTTACTCAAAAAATGCTTGTTTAGAGAGTTTCCAAAGAGTTTCCGTAGAGTTTCCGTTTAACGTACTTTTTCCCGAGAGTTTTCATGCTACATAGCTTAGAATGGGGTGGGGTGTTTTCAACTTTGCATATGAGAAGTGCACATTACGTGATATCATGTGACATTGGTGTCCAAGTGACACGAGAGGCATCATAAACATCATCCCCAAGGAAAAGATACCCTCCACCTCGTGAACTCAAGCAGTGGCCAACCACGTTTCTCACCAGACCAAGGTTCTTTAGCTGTGAGAGAATGCTGGTTCTTCCTTTTCCAAGGCCAAGTACCCCGTCTGAAGGATGGTGAGATGGACCATGTATCTGATCATATCCGCACCTGGTTCAAATTGGAAGCATAAAAAACACCTTAATATGTCTAAAATCTAAAACTCACGGGCTTCATGAGATCAAGGAAGATACTGACCCGAGAGCCAGATGAGGTTTAACCACAACCCCACTGGTAAGGTTAAGAGAAAAGACATCATTGAGCAAGACACCGAGAGATGAACCGCCATCAGCATACTCGACCTCATAATCACATTGCTCTAGAGTGTCACATTTATAATCAGCTGAATGCAGAGAGGCACAAAGGGGGTCCTTGCAAATCACAAGGTCATTGTTGGGCTTGTAGTAAGGGTGATGTGCCTGGGATTTGAAGGATTGAAATACTTCACTCATTAGGAAAAGCAAATATGAGGTATGTCTATATCATGTTGTGGAAATGTAATAAGACAGTTATATTATACCCTTGTACAATGGACACAGGGAGCGTCGCATTGAAGCCAAGTAAGGTCACTTCCCGTATCCGGATCAAGAAAATAAGGCTTTGAAGGGTGCCCAACATCCACTTGGACAAAATAAAATCTGAGAGAGAAATATTCAATTCCCTCTAAGCAATATATGTGACATTAATGAAAAACAATCTTTGCAAATCATACTCTTTCCATCTTTCCATTGAGAGAATCCACAACAATCACATTATCTGACGAAATTCATACACTTACCTAACAAATTCTTTTATAACATTATACTTCAGATTCTTGGGCATATATGTGTAGTGTATCATGTATGTACGTATAGGCACACTCATACACATATAAGTTTGTATCTATGTATGTGGACACATATATCGACACAGACACTTGTATGTGCATATGCATATATACATGTATGTTTAAGTAAGTGTGTGTGCATGATAAAGCAAACAGGAACACAGAGAAGCAGAATCACATACCCTTTGGGGTAAACATTGCCATAAAGCGGCAGAACAATTGAAGACGGTCCCGCTTGAGTGTAAACCGATGGTGATGAGGACGAGGACAAGGGAGAGGATGATCCATCAGAACCTGATGACATCCATGTCCATTTCTCGTGCTGATCGGTGGACCCGGAACCAAAAGAAGCACAGGCCATCATAAGGATGGCCATCATCACCATTGTTCTTCCCCCCATCTCCCCCCCAAACGTTTTAAATCTTGAATGAGATTATTTGAGGGTTCAGGAAAGAAATTTTTGAAGATTGGGGGCCATTAAGTTCCTGTTTTTCCTTTTAAAGTCATTGAGATTCTTTGGAAAGGTAAGTAACTTACTTGGAAATTGTGGTTTTAAAAGGTATTATATGTATTCTTCTTCATTGCCCTACATATTCTATTATTCTTTTCTTGTCTTGGATCACTGTTAATCTGTTCAGTGTGCTTTTTTTATTCTTTCCCTCCACTGTTAGGCAAACTGCTTACCATACTAATATATTTTTAAGAATTGAAAAATACTGATGCTTTGTAGGTTTATAAAATTTAATGTAATGAATATAAAAACACAGTTTCATTCAATTTTTTAAAATGAAGTAGAAAAATATAATAACCCAGTTTTTTGTCTTACTAAGCCGAAGTTCTCCAAAGACTGAACTTGACTGCTTAAGATGAACAAATCACACTACACAAAATAGTGCAGGAGTTACTTTTCCGCTGAAATGGAAATGGAGGGATCATCTTTTGGATATTATACTTCTAAATTTCTTTAAATTACAATGTGAATAAGTATTTTGAGATAATTCTTGAGAAACAACAGAGGAGATTCGCCTTTTAAGACAGATAATTGAATATCAATCTGTTAGGAATATATATTATACTCCGTATGTAGTTGCTATTGTTTGTATCATGACCTACTTTTGCAATTTTATGTGGATTCTGGTATGATCATGACTGGTATTGGAGGTAGGGATTTGGGGTGATCTAACTTGTGATCTAATACGATTTGACTTATATTTGTAGAGAATTTGAGAAAAAAACTTGTACACACTACATGTTTGTGAAAATGTCTGATGAAATTCTCTTACTTTGATAGCAACACAACTATTAGGTCTTGTTAAGAACCCCAAGGAAACTTGTATCGTTCCTATTGACACATTCACACACACTATGATAGGATCATGGGCTACAGAGAATAATAATAAGAATAATAGAATAATATTGGAATTTTATTAGTTCGGAACTTATCAATTCAGGACCTAAAAGATGAAATATATCATTATAGGACCCAATGACGAAAAACTATCAATCTAAGACCTAACATTTCATAGGATTTGATTTATTTAATTTTTTATTAATTCCATTGCTAATATTTGATGATTTTTTCTTCACAAAAGTTTATTAGTTTAATAAAAATAAATAATATTTAATTTTTGAAAATTAAAATAATAATAAGATTTATGAAAACTCAGGTCATGTATTGATAGTTTTCAATCATTGAAGTCCTAGATTGATAGTTTTCCATCATTCAGGTCATATATCGATGCATTTCATCTTTCAGGTCCTGGATTGATAATTCTTCTATAGGTCCTGGATTGATAAAATTCCAATAATATTTACATACTACGTAGTTGTTAATTTGTTATTATGTTTTAGGGGGTCAAAGCCAGGTATTATTTAGTTATGGGCCAGCCCGTAAGGAAAAAATTTTAAATAGGAGCAAAGAGTAGAATACGGGTAGGGGGGATTCTATTCACATCCACCATTTTACTAAATACAGCCACATATTTTTTTTCAAATCCAATTATGTCCCTTAACCAACTGCATCATATTCCCTTACATCCAAAGAATTTGAAGCAGCAGATTGTGGTCCGGCAACCTTCTTATTTCACCCAATCTCCCTCCAGCCACACTAATACAACTAGCTTCGATGTAATTAATGGAGGAAAAAGATGAATGATTAGCTTCTTATTTCACAACCTTCTTAATTGATTTTTCCCCATCCTGTGTTTCCTGTCTTCAATATTAATTCCCAGAAAAAAGGGGTTTCAAGGTTTGTGATTTGCCATTGTTCACAAATTAGGGGCTGTGGAATCCAAAGTGTTGGAGCTGACCAGGAAAGCGGAGAGGGTAATTGGAGTTGTTCATCATCACCGCCACCAATATTCCCATGTAATAATCAACACACATCAACTTGCTCTCCCTGCAGTCCAAGGTCTGCCAACACCACCCATGGGAAGCGTAGTGTGAGGCGGTGGTAACTAATTCCAAGGCACGTCGGACCTAAGATGCCGGCAGCCGGTAATCACCAACAATTGGTAACGGTGATGAAGAGAAGATGAATGAGAGGTTGTTAGAGCAGCAGTCATCTTTCAATTTGTAAAAATCGATAACTAATGGAATTTAGAAACTAAATCTTCGGTTTGTCAAAAAACCAGAAACTAATGGCTTGTCCAGCCCCACGCATTCTCTCGATGACAAGTGGCGGTGATGATGAACACTCCAATAACTCATAGCTGAATTATTAATTGGAGCCGATGGGAAAGGCAAAGACTTGTATAGAAAAATTTGTTCATCGAATTCGCAAAGTCTTTGATGTACATGGAAATATTGGGCGCAGTTGGTAGGCTAAGGACATATCGGATTTGAAAAAATATTGTGGCTGTACTTAGTAAAATTGTGGTCGTTCATTGCTTGACTTTGGATTGCCTTTGAAATATGAAAATGGCCATTGGGTACAATTAGTAGTCCACAATGAGTGGTAGGAGAGTTTGTACCCTTCCCGTTTAGTGCATGAATTACTTCTCAAAATCCTACCATTTTCACCCTTATCCTGCACCATGTGATTAATCTTTGTGTAATTAAGATTCCCTTTTGAATTAAATTATGTATTTGTGTTAGGTTACTATTTAGTTCTTTATTTTGTGGTGCTACTATTTAGTTTTTTTGCAGGTAATCCAACATTCAAAGTGAACTCTAGCTTACACTTTTAATCTCTAAACCAAATATCACATTACTTTTTCCCTATACATTGTCCTGAATAAATACCTGATACTTTAATATACTTACACATCCCAATAAGGACCGGTGAATTATAAAATGCTCGTCATTGAGATAGCATTATAATTATAATGTTGAAACCTAAAATTGAAAACAATTTTCCTACTTCCTTTCCTAATAACCACTTACAAGTTACATAGAGAAGAATATAATCAAAGTTGCTTTATGTGCACACCGAAGCTGTACATACCATTTGTACGGCCTGTTTTGTTTAGGCGCAAATAATTGTTTTCATTGGTCACGAAAAACAATTTTTTCCCAAGAATTTGTCACAGCACTTTACAAAAATGAAGAAAAAAATATCTATAAACTGACAAATTCCACCTTTCACTTTACAAAAAGATTTTTTCATAGGAAAAATTTACAAGAATAATCTCACCTGTCTTCTCATAATAATCTCACTTTTATGTAATTCCAGAATAATCTCATATTTGCCCCTCATCTTTTTTCGTTGGACTCTGACCTGTTGATGACTTACTACACAAGGTTTTTACCCTTTCTTTGCAAACCTTATATAAATAATCTCATTTTTCACAAATCTGCTCAAAATGGTCTCATGTTTTATTTTTCTTTTTTCTCCCTAAAATTTTTCATTGAGAAAAGTGTCGAAAAGGTACTTGTGGTGGGACCCGTTTTCAGATAAGATCGTGGTTTGAATTTGGTTATCACAAAAGAATCCTGACACCTGACGCAGTTAAAAATAACCGGAGGAAGATGGTGAACAGTAACTCCGATTTTCAAAAGTGCCAGGAAATTAAAAGAAAAATATTGGAAGGTGCGCCTCAACAAGACGACTGCTAGGCTATCTTTCTTTTTTGTTTTCAACCACCCTTGTCAACGAAATGTCCACCAGAAAAGTGATATTAGCAAATTCATTTTTAAAAAATAATTCAAACAGGTCCGAAAAATTCCAAAGTCAAAGGTGTGTTTTTGGCATCTTGCCGAGGCGCACCTTCCGGTATTTTTCTTTTAATTTTCCGGGCACTTTTGGAAATCGGAGTTACTATTAACTGTCTTCATCAGACGTTTTTAACGGAATTCAAACACATGAACCACTTTGATAAAAATGAAACACATGACCATATCTGAAAACGGGTCCAACCACAAATATCTTTTTCGTACTTTTTCCATTTTTCTTTCTTTATTTTCATCCCTAGACATTTTTTTATTACTTTTTCTATCATTTTGTTCTTGTTTCCTTTCCTTTTTTATTATTCTATTTCTCACTCTATTAGGAGAGATTTTTTTTTTGTAAAATTTCTCTTCAAAATAACTCTTTTTTGTCGTTTTCTTTTTCTTTCCGTATTTTTATTTTATTTCCTTTTTTATGTTTTTCTTCTTAATCATTCTCTTCTTATTAAAGATCTTTTTGTGGACTTACTTAGAAAATACGATAATGTAGAAAGGAGAATATATATATTGATGGTGGAATTAAGATAACAACAAGAAAGAACAAAAAGTCAAAAAAAACATTCAAAAAAATAACAAGAAGAAAAAAAGTGGAAAAGTGAAAATAAAAAGAAAAGATAACAAAAAGTAAAGTGAGAAAAAGATCTTTAATAAGAAGAAAATGATTAAGAAGAAAAACATAAAAAGGGAAATGAAATAAAAGTATGGAAAGAAAAAGAAAACGACAAAAACGAGCGATTTTGAAGAGAAATTTTACAAAAAAAAGTCTCCTAATAAAGTAAGAAATAGAATAATAAAATTGGAAAAGAAATAAGAACAAAAGGATAGAAAAAGGAATAAAAAGTGTTTAGGGATGAAAAGAAAGGAAAATTTTAGGGAAAAAAAGAAAATACGAAACATGAGACCTTTTTGAGCAGATTTGTGAAAGGTGGGATTATTTATATATGGTTTTCGAAGAAAGGTTAAAAACCTGGTATAGAAGGTCATCAACATGTCAAGGTCCAAACAAAGAAGATGAGATGTAAAGCTGGGATTACTCTGAGATTACCAAAGGTGAGATTATTATGAGAATAACGGTGAAAGGTGAGATTATTCTTGTCAATTTTTCCTTTTTCAAATATACTACTAGTATTTACCCCTCGTTCCTGGTCAAGGCATTTCTCAATTTCATTTTCTTAGACTTCATGAAGAGCACATGGGGTAAAATGGTAAATAAAAAGGAACTCAAGGGGGTGTTTTGTAAAATGTAATATACAACGGACATTATGAAACATGGTTTTCTACTGTGTCAAAGAGGGGGCTTTGACACAAATATTACTAAAAAATTGGTACCGTACAAAAAAGACTTTTTTCTTAATTCTAAAAAATGTGACTAATTAGTGCATTCTTTACTAAGTTACTCCTAAATTTTCAGCATTGTACAAGTGTAGTCCGCAAGATCTTAGAGCATCTCCAATGCTACAATGTGCACGATGTAAGTGTGGCAGGAGAGAGAGATACAAAAAAAATAAATTTATGACATTCATCTCTCCTTTCCACGGTTTTGTGTGTTTTTGGTAAATTTTTCTCAACAATGTCAACCACAAATCTCTACATTTAGACATTGTGTTTGACATTGTAGAGAAAAACTTACCAAAAACATATTAAACCGTTCAAATAAGGAGAGAGATATTCTATTCGTTATTTTTAAATTGGCTCTCTTATGTCATGTATGCATCGTTCACGACTTCACGTTTTTTGCATTGAAGATGCTCTTAGCGTGATGCACTAATGCACTATCAGACTATCACAACTGGTGCTTTTTTTTACTTAATTATTTCAATTTTCTGCAATCTGTGACAATGATTCTAGAAGTCTACAATATTATTTTAATATTCAAATATTATTTCTGAAGATTACTACAAAGTATTACGATATGAATTTTTTTTACAACTATTCAGTGACCAACGTCCTTTACTACTGATCCAGTGACCACCATTTCAGTTATTACTATCGCTCAAGTGTCCAACGTCTTAGTTACTATTACCGCTCCAGTGACATCACCTTAGTTACTACCGTTCAAAGATCACCCTCTCAATTACTATTAGCGCTCCAGTGACATCGTTTTAGACTTTTAGTTACTACCGATCTAGTGATCACCGTCCCAGTTACTACTGTTCCAGTGATCACCGTCTCAATTACCACCGCTCTAGTGACTTACCGTACTTGAAATAGTCATTGTCCCGCACTAGGGATGGACCCGGGCCGGTCCGGTTCCGATTCCAAGCCGGTGGGCTTTTTTGCAAAATGTTGGGCCCGGAACCGACCCGAGTTGATACCGAGTCCGGGCCGGGCCGGGCCCGGGTCAATGTCTAATTTTTTTTTTTGCTTTCTTGTTATCCCCCGACACCCCCACCCCCTCACCCCCACCCCCAAACCTCCCTAAAACACCCAGCCCTACCCTAGGAAAAGAAAAAAAATTGAAAAAACAAAAAAACAAAAATATGACCCGGGCCCGGCCGAACCGCCCGGCCCGGTTCGCCCAAAACTGGGCCCGAGCCCGGCCCGCCCGACCCGCCCGACCCGCCCAAACGGGCTAAAAGCCCTGAACCGGCCAACCGGTCCCGGTCCGATCCGGGCCCAAACAGTAGCGGTTCCGGGCCGGTTCCGGGCCGAGCCGACCCGGCCCAGTCCATCCCTATCCCGCACTGCCCAGTGACCTCTCCCGGCGCCTAGTCGTTGGCCGTCGTCCAGTGACTAGTTGCCCCGAGACTCTATAACCTAGTGACCGCTGATCACTGCCCACAGTTCCAGGACAGTGACTTGTTTCCCTAGCCCCCAATGACCTACTGCATCGGGGGGCCAGCCCGACAACCCCTAGCTTCACCCGCTCGACATTGCATGTCGTCGATGTGCTACGGGAATCACCCAAGAACCCTAGACATGATGTCGACCCAAATCTGAACCACCACATCAACGATTAAGGTGTGCGATAGTGACAACAACTTGGAGTGGAGACATTGGGGACCGCTCAAGTTGGCGACAAACGAAACCGTGAAGATGGCGATGATGGCAATACTCAAAAAGTCGGAGAGGAGAGAAATGGGCGCAGATATGGCATAGAGAAAGCATGAGAGACTTGTGACTTATTTTTGTCAATTCAAAAGTTGTAAGTAATATATTGGTGAAAATCTAAAGGTACACACTTTTTTGTGTACACACTTTTTACACATGTCTATGTAAGATTTTTTTTATGTCTGTACAGACATAACGTATTTTTAAAAGTGTAACTCTGTATTGGTCATTCTTTCAATAAAGAATGTAAAGCATGTTCTACGTAACCAGGCACGCAATTTAATGAATTTAAAAATATTTAAGGTTTCTGCATTTTAATGGGAACCAAATATGAAAAATGGAGATAAACGAATTTAATGAATTTAAAAATATTTAAGGTTTCTGCATTTTATTGGGAAACGAAAATACGAAAAATGGAGATAAATGATAGAAAACACATTTTAAGTAACCAATAAGACACTAACAAAAAAAGTAACCAATCAGGCATTCAGGCAGGTCCGTAAATTTTAAAATACAAAATTTTATGAGTCCCGTAAGTTTGGGAGCCTTGGTGCACCGGTTATGGTGGTGTTGTATGACCGGGTCATAGATTCAAATCTTGGGAGCGACCTCTGGCCAAAATGACAAGGGAAGGCTTACTCTTTATACACCCTTGTAGTAGGACTCTTCACCTCGCCATGCATGGACAACAATGTGCACCAGGCTGCACTCTTTATTAGCACCCGGCAAAAAATATGGATGGCAACAATACAAGAACAGATATAGGAATGATGCCACACCAACAGCAGGATGGCAACAATACAAAAACTGATAGGAATTACGCCACACTGCCCACACCAGCCTTAAGTTAAAGAGTGTATACAGTGGCCATACAATTACATAAAGGATCCGAAAGGAAAGAAACAGAAGAAGATGACGACTTGTACAAAAGACACCAAAAAACCTGACCAGCTTTGAAGAATATGAATACCTCCCATTCAGAGAACTTTTATTAAACGGCAGGGATAACAAGGCATCCGAAGTCGAGCAATCTCGGAAATATCTGCAAAAATGAAGGCCAAACAGAACAAAGTAAATAGTGCAAGAACCTTACAAAGCAACAAATTGAGCTTTACCTCTCCAAGTCTGGCATTGATTTTCAGAGGTACAAAATCATCAGCTCTTGTTTCACCAATATTCACAATCGCAGTGGCTGCACCAACCTCGTGTGCAGTTCTGTTAAACCAAATTTGAAAGTTTAGCATCTGAATTTGCTACTTTAATGAAAAGGATGGTGAAGCTACAGCTAAGATGAGTTTTTCTAAGTAAGATCAGAAACAAGTTGACAAGATGACGATGGTCGGTGATGGTGATGGCGGCATTACAGTAGTTCGGTATACTATATTCAAACATGATTCCAACATGTGTCAAATACAATGCAAAAAAACTTTTTAAACCAAACGTCTCATGGCACTGGAGATGGTAGTGATCACCGATAATAAACATTATGAGCAGTTGGTCAATCAGAAATATTTATATTTAATTGTGTGGTTGAGGTAATGAGGGGTGAGCAGGGTAGAAATGGAGTAAGGTGGGGAGAAGGGGGAGGGGGTGAGGAGGAGGGAGGGGTGGAGTGGGAGTAGGGTGAGGAGGTGGGGTCACTGAAAATGACAATGAGAGGTTACCCGTTATTGTAGGAACCATCATTGGTGATATATTAGGTCATATTTTTACTTCGGAAACACACAAAAAAAGGTTTCTAGTTTTTGAAAAGATAGAGATATTGGAGAAATGTTTTATGTTATTCAAATTGGAAAAGTGGGAAAGTAAAACATGTATTCTGTATTGTGTATTCTAAATTTAGAAAAATGAACTGAGGTTTTTGGATGCAGGAAGGAAGTCATCAAGTTGAGACATATTAAATGCAATGAACTTACCTAATAAGTCGGAAAGCGGACATGGTCATCAAAGAAGAGCCAAGTGCAAGAAAAGCATCACATTCTTTGGCAGCCAGCATTGCAGAATCCGCTCTCCCTTTGGGGACATTATCTCCAAAAAAGACTACCTGCAAATTACACTAACAGTTACTCTGCATAAATCAAGCTAATCTTGACAGCACTACTGGTGATGCAGCACTACAACATCCAAGGGCATGCCCAAAAAGAGCTAGAATGGTCCTTGGACAATGATTTGCCTCTTATCTTCTTAAGCATCATGATACAGCCACAAAGGAACTTCCACAGCTTTGCCTCTGAAGAACCCATTAGCCATCTCTGAAATAAAATGACAAAATATGACTTACATTGGGTTTCAGCAACCCATTGCATTTTGGACAGACGGGGATATCGAATTCCTCCTCCCAGAATTTTTCATCAATCTCAATATCTCCATCAGGCCTTTGTTTCATTCCAAAACTCTTGTCTGCACGGCTGTCGTACTCTAAACTTTCAATTGCCTCTGCCCACTGCACAATAGATGTTGTTCACTTAAATTGAAACAGTGACAATTGTAATTTGTAATTAACATGGAGCCATAACTATAAGTTGTGAACCACATAATCCTTCATAAAGTTAAAAACATGTTACATGCTTATTTCCAAGACAATGCAATTGATGAAGTGTCAGAAGAATTCAGAGTACTAAGACTTAAGAAAGAACATGGATGACCTCCAACTGTGAATGAATGTATAAATAAAAGTCGTGGAGTGAATAGTAACTAAAACGAATATAAGCTTGCAGAATTTGAAAAGAGAATGACTATCCATGGCCATCAAATAGTAAGATGGAGATAGGTATTTAAAGGAAACAGTAGCTCTGAATCCAAATAAAGTACACAAATAAATAGTAAAAATTTAAAACCAACCTTGGGATTAAGAGCCTTCAATTGATCCTGAAATAGTTCACGAGCTAGAGTGAAACCACATTCAATACAAATAACAGTATATACAGTACCATGCAATTCAAGTGGGTTGCTGCCAGCACGATGATGCAGCCTGAAACAGAAAGTTAAAAAATTGTCTCATTGGTCCCCTAATATGTATTTGCAGACCAGACTTACCTGTCCACATTCTGCGTTATCATATAACTAATCTGGCCTGCTCTTTCAAGAGAAGCTAAGGCAATATGAGCAGCACTAGGATGTGCAGCACTGAACCGCCGCCATCCAGCATAGCTTCTTGCCCAATAACGTCTCTGTGCCTTAACCGAGCGGATAAATTCCTACATTTTGAAAACCATGAGTCTATATCAGACATTTTAGTCCGGGGAAAAGGGCATATGTGCACATAATGTGAAACGTCACAACAGATTGCATAAGAAGCTACACTCATAAAGAAACATGCTCCATTGACTATAAATGGTTTCCCATAAAGGTTACAAAGCTATTCAAGAAACTGTGCATACTGCATATAATCAGATACTTGGCCTACGCATAAGTAGTCTTCTCCAATGTAGTGAAATCCGCGAGTTAACCGCTTTTAAGGTCCCTGCGAATTAGTTTCTATGTTATGTTGATCTGTTTTATTCTTTAGAACAAAATCTATGTCCCCATGGTGAACTCTGTGGTCCATGACCATGCTTTATTAATGGGAAAATCAGAACACCAATTTTTAAAGGTAGCTAAAAATGCAAAATTGTGGATTAATTGAACAAAACTATGCCAATTAACAATTATGTTTTTGAATGAATAGTTTCCTCTCCCTTCAGGCACAAAAGTAGAGGTGATTATGCCACTGAAAATGCTCATAAAATTGATTAGAAAATAATGGTTTTATATATAACAGTCACTGGAAGTACAATCGCTTGAATGAATAAAGAATTTGCAAGACATGCCTTTAGATCACCTGGTGTGTAATTGGTTTGAAACCTGTGTTATATGCTCCATTTGGGCTGCCAATACATAAGGAGAACTGTTAAAATTGCACCATCATATCTCACATAATACTCATGTAGATTAAAAAGGAGCTAAGTTCTGACAAAAATGCAATTGCATGCCGTGATGTCCTTCAAAACCAATTAGCATCTCCATTCTCTATGTGTAACTTCTTTAACAAAACTTTAGGTGAAAATTATTGTAACCCACGCTTCACAGAGATAGTCTGATCTAGCTATAAGAAGGAATGTAAAAAATACAAATCAAATGCAGGAAGATAATATGTTGTGCAATTTTAAAGGCACCATTATATTGTCATTGGAAAAAGGTGAAGAATGACAAGTTATAAGTAAAAGTGACCTTCTATAATCAGGAATCCCACTCTCAGTGCTTATTCCTGCTCCGGTCAAAACAACAAGCTTCTTACTGCACAGTGCAAAAACAAAAATTAAAACAAAAATGGTGACAGATTAGACACCATCACAATGAGATTAGCTTAGCTTAGCGCCTTAGCCTACACTATTCCTAATAGTAGACAAAATCAGCTAATCACATAGCATAAGAAAATTTTGCAACCACCATTTTTCCCTGAACATGTGCACTTACCTCCTATCGAACAATTCATACAAACGCCTGACATCACCTCTACTTGGAGGGTTTGAATATGGAACAGTCTTCTTGTCTCTTGAAGGAGCGTCAGCTGTGCTTCCTGATGAAACTTGGGGAAACTTTATACGTGACTTCGTTTGCACATACTTAAAAGATAAACGACAAGGATCTGCATGTTCCATTCTGATGAGAAATGTCCCGTTTCTGCCAGATGATGATACACTAGAACCTGGACACAACCATACATATGAAAATACACAAATATAGTTTTTAAGATCCACTTTCAAACAGGTGAACTTACTGTCACAGGGCTACAGTCTAGTGCATCTCACTACACTCCGGAGTCTGGAGGTTTCTGGGAACTTCTACAAACTTCATCGCGGCAACACGCTAACTGGACTTGACATCAGAATAGCGTGGGTTTTTTAAATAGATGAGAAGCTAACGACATATATGAGCATGGAAGGAACCTTAAACTTTGCCTTTGTTTGGGAACATGGGGATATGGCAGAAAGGAGCCAGAGGGAATGTGAAAGGAAAATGTGGATATGAATGTTTTTCCTTTGTATTATCAAGTCAAATTTATTCCCCCCTTAAGTGAAGAGAAAGAAGTGAATATCCACACTTTTTCCTACCCCTCCCTTTTTGTCATATTTTACGCTCTATTCCTCACCCTCGCTATTTCCACTCTATTCCTTTTCAACCGAACAACTTCATCTCACGTGCCTACTTCCTCTCTCTCTATTTCTTCTACCTTTACCAAACTCAGCATTTTGCAGTAAGGGGAAGATACATTTTATCCGTAGGTGAAATATGAGTTGCCTCTGAACGATGTACAATTCGCGCGATAAAAAAAGCAAAAGAAAAAGGGAACATATGCTTGCCTCTGAACGGCATTCTCAGCAGTTCTTTCTCGTCTGTGAATGCCTAATTAGTCAATAGTCAGAAACCATATGAGAACGATTACAGTAAATTAATTTCTGGTTTGTCGATTTCACACTATGATCAATTGGTATCAGGAAAGTGTATCCAGGTCTATTTACAATAAATGGGAAAATAACAATACAGTGAAGAACTGAATACTCACAGATAATAGGATGCGGGAAGATAAACGCAGGGCCATAGTCGTCGTTATTGTTTGATTTTGAGAATATGGAAGACGAATGGGTTCGGTCAGGAACCACGGACAAATCATCAAGCTTTTCCGTGGCTGATTCTTCCACGTCGTGTATTATGTCCACCTTATGGCAAATTATACCGTCAATCCCACTAATTCCTTATTGAGTTATTTCCCTCCACATTTGTATTCTTTTTTAGCAATCTCACCAATTTCATTAATTTCATCAATCCCACCAAGCCTTACTTTTTCTCTTACCTTGTTTTTTTCTTTTCTTTTTTTACAACTAGTTTTTCACCTGTGCGTTGCACGGGAATTGATTTATATGCACATGTATAAAGTAATTTGATATATGTGTTATATTTTATATTCTACTTTAAGAGTGTAGGTAATATCGGAACACAGGACATGAACGTTATAACATATTAAAACATGTATCTTAATATTTTATTCACTTGTATGTAATACGACAAACCATTGACAAAATTTTGAACATTTCCTTGTACACTACGTTAAGTGGAATTGTTAGGTTCGTCTTTATCATCAGATATCACAGATTTTAATTTTGAAGGATTTGTAACTCTACCTACCGTCGCATACTGACGTAAGAAGATGCCTACTCTTTCAAGCGAGTGACTTTGATTCTTTTTTATGGTTATTGCATAACCAACCACTAATGGTAATTGCCTGAAACATGAATGATAATCTAATATCGGATGGTGTAAGTGTTAGCCTTGGAATATAGACCTTCTCACCAGCATTTATGCAAGTCAATATTTGAGTCTCAATAATATTATCTCCAAGCCGGATCACAATAAGCCAACACCATTGCATAATCCTAAAGAGAAATCAATTTTCGTCATGAGCATGCATGATAGGTACACCTACCTTTAACTTGATTTTATGTGCCCGAACTCCAGAACATCGTATTCCATAGGTACGTTGCATAGGTATGTATCGATTATAGCATTAGCAACATTTTGATAATCGAGAAACACTACGTATTTGACAAAAATAATAGTATCTTTATCCACCTAAAATTAAAATAAGAGGAGGAATTATGGTTATTAAGGAAAATGTAACTGTGTAGTTGGTATTAAATTGATAGTGTGACAAAATTAAGAATGGAATATAATCATCCAAATATTTCCAAATATGGTATAAAGTTAGTGGGACATTGAAATTGAGAGAATAAGTATTGCTCCTGCATACCACATATGTGTTTGTCCGAAACATAATAACATACCACCAATAATGTATGATTGTGTAGGTAAAAAGAACAGAAAGATTAAAAATGGTAATTTATGTCCCAAATTATTGAAATGGAGCGCCAAGTAGCTTGTGTTTGATGTCATGATCTCTCAAATAGAAGGTCGCAAGTTCGAGTCTCATCCCAATCAAGGATGTTCGCATTAATATGAGCAGATACTATAATAGGTTTAGAAGAATATTCCAAAAAAATTGAAGTGGAGCTGAAATGGGAAGATAAACATGTATAATTTGGAAGAGCTCCTTTTAAAAAAAGATGACACCCAGTCACCCATCCCTGAGTTAGAACCCTCCAACACTGATCGGATAGTTAATTGGGATGATGTAAATTGAACTTTAATCATAAATTGATAGATAGCGAGTGAGGCTCTGGCCCTGGTTTTTGCATAGACCCTAAAACATATGTTGTCGAAATTCAAACTCAAGACTTACCCCTCTATTTGGTAAGTACGAATTATTTATAATTTAATGGATTGGTAATTATTTTCATGATAATTTTTTATTATCGTTTTCTTGTTATGTTCAAGGGCGTAGTCAGAACACACAATTATACTGGGCCGGTACAAATAAAATTTAAAAAAAATGCACAAATTTTTTAGCTTACAAATACATTACAGTTTCAAATTTGGGGTGGACCGAGCCCGGGCTGCCCCCTATCTACGCCCCTAGACCCTGGTCATGTTCATCTAAATTCCAATAAAAGTGTTGATGGTTTGATAATAGAGAATTTATTATTCATATTACATGCATAAAATATGTAAATATATGTGTCAATTAAGCTTATATCCACTCTAAAAAAAGCTAATATCAACTCTAAATTTCTATCGTTCAGCCGCACCGGTATGCATTTTTATCGTTGAGCGCGGGAGTACGTACTGAAGCAGGTAATGTACGTACATATCATGATATCATGCATTACATTATTTGCCAAAATTTCAAAAGGAAAATTTGAAGAAAACAATGATAGTTATTGTTGCTTCATACTACAACCACGTACTACGTAAGTGATTGCCTCAATTTAAACATCATTAATAATAGACATATGCGATTTGGGAATTTTGAAAAGGTATATTTGTTATAATAATATTTCACTTTATTAGTCCCAAAAATTAAAATGTTATTCACAAATGGACATCAAAAGACTTTTTCTATGTTTAACCTTTTTATTAATTTATCGTCAATATTTTTTTATTTAAAATATCTGAAATTGAATTTGTAAACTTAATTATTACTCTTTCCATCCCAATTTAAGTTTCTCATTTTTATTTTAAAAAATAATTACCACTCTTAAATGTCAAAATACGGAGCCGTGTAATAGATTTTATAGGCCTTGTTATAAATGACAAATTGAGAGGCCTCTTAAAAGAAAAAATAGTACTTGGTATTATATAAAAATGTAATTAAATTTCATGATTGAGTTTCTTAAAATTTCTAAAATAACGTAATGGTTCTTTTAATTTTTTATTGGATGGAGTTGAAAAAATGAAATAGGATGATCATGTGTTTGTTTTGGATTAGGATGAATGTGAAGAAACACAGGGTCATCACTATCCGTGTACATATTTTCTAAGGCTTGTGATATATGTCAGGCTCTATCAAAAAATGTTCGCGTGCAGTGAAATTATAAATAGGAACTAATTCCAAAGAGAACTAGAAATATCATTCAAAGGATCAACCATATATGCTGATTTTAGAAGGATCAATAATAAACGGATCAACTATGCATGCCAAATTTATTGAAAGTATCAATATTAAAATAGAATCAGAATAAAAAACAACATGAAGAGATGTTGATGGTCCTGATGGACCAACTATATATGCTATTAATCCAAACTTTATTAAAGAATGCTTTAAAGAAGCTAAAAAATAGGGAAGGTTGAACTTCATTGCGTCTCTAGATTGATGAACTTCTATTTTTTATAGTTGATCCTTGGCTGGAGAGTGTTTCAGATCCTAGAAGATTACCTTCTAAAACTCAGCCCATAAATAATGATACTAAATAATCTGTAATAGACAACAGAAAATAATGTTTCCATAAATTAGTACTAAAGTTGGCAATAAATTACCTCTTTAGCAGGTGACAACTCAGAGATTGGTGTGATAAGGACCAATTTCAGCAGCAACATCGACATATAGAAACATCCTCCGATGCTTAGAAAACTACAATGATTGTAAGTATGTTGACTCCCAAAAAAATCTGAGGTTGAGTAGACAATGTATTTATCATCTCAAGTAATTGTTTACCTGCTTCGAAAATCCTCAATCTTAGGGATATGTTCATCCAATAATAACATTGAAACATAAAAAGAGGTGGCTACTCCTTTAGTGCCATCTAAAAGTAAAGAAGTAACCAAATGTAGCCATTATACATATAAGGCATGTTCAATCAAATTATATAAAAGTGCAAAGGAGAAGCAACACCCCCATCATTTATTTATATGACATAGCCGCAGTAGGACAATAATAGGATTTTGTCTCGGGGCGGACAAATATCTATCTAAGAGGTCAACATATACTCATTCCGGAGAGTGCAATTAAGAACCTTATTCCTAAACACAAAAACATCCCAGATTTAGTATTTTACTCTTAAAAGCGGTTATATATTACTACCTCCGTCCCTTAAATCTTTGCCAAAGTTGACCGGCACGGAGAATAATAAAGTAAAAACTTTGTGGTTGAGGTTGGTGCAGAGGAGAGAGAAATAACAGAAACCATAAAATAATTGTTTAAAAGGGAAAGTAGCAAAGTTTTTTGGGACGTCCCAAAAGGGAAAGATGACAAAGTTTTAAGGGATGGAGGGAGTAACTAAAATAGTAATTTGTGGTAGTATTTCCTTACCTATAAATTATGAAGTTCAAAGCTACTCCATGTTGAAGCGCGTGCCTTCGCATGCTAAGGGCTTCTTTACGGGATCAAATGGATTGTTTGTCCCAATTATGTCTTCACACAATAAATATTAAAGGTGACTTTAAAGTATTCAAATTGAGTGAATCATGCATTTCAGCCATACAAAAGATGTATACTTACCAATCTGATCAGGACCATCAACATTAAGAAAATCAGAACATCTTCAAAGTTGGTGAATTTATAAGTAGTGAGAGGATACAATGGGTGTGTATCGTCTGGCTAGACCATAAAATTAGTCCTTTGATTAAAATAAAACTGATATGAATGTTGTGTTGGTCTCCACTCACCCACACTTTCTGTTACATTGAAGTGCATAAAGGCATATAGTCTCCCTCCTCAATTTGGTCTTCAAACATTGGAATGTACTCTTGTGGTACCGTAGCTTGAATTCGTGTGCCCTATAAATGTATGGTTTAGCAAATATGCAAACAATGTTTTTTTTAATATCTTAAAAACAAATCACTAACTAATGTATATTGATTTCACTTTATAGCTATAATAACAGTCTGTTCATATCCTAATTAAGCTGATATCCACTCTAAGTTCCTATCATTCAGCCACAACGCTAGGAGTTTTATTAAATAAAACAGCAGCTCCAGTCTTACATTTCATTCATCCAATTGTGTTTTAACTCTAAGTTCCTATCATTCTGTTGATTTATTGTACTCAGAAAGGGCTGCTATAATATTAAAGGTGAATCATTTTGTTTCGGCAATCACTTTCCATATCTCAAAAAAACGGACAGACACAAGTGGTTTTGATAAACTAATAATTCGCCACACAAATGTTTTGATAATTTCAGTTTTTGGGAGTACCAAATACTCTCTTGTCACAGATTTGGATAAAAGGGGATAAAGTTGACACATGATTTTCTTCCACCACCAAGCATTTGGAAGAAACATACGGTTGTACTATCAATTACTCTCTTGTCACATTGCCTCTTCCAAT